GCCCGTGAGGAGCCTCCAGCCGCCGCCTCCGCAGTCCCTTCCCCCTTCCCCCTGCCCAGGGCAGTTTCATCGAAACCCGGGCGCCCCGGGCGAGTCGCAGAGCTGAGGCAGGGCGGGGCGGAGCTGGAGGCCCCGGAGCCGGGAGCCACCCAGAACCGGCCGGGCCTCGGGCAGCCGCGGGCTCGAAGGCTGGGGTGGTCCGAAGGCTGCTGCCTCCGTCATGAAAGGCCTCTCTCCCCCCTCGCAGCCGCCTTCCAGGCCACCAGAGCGCTCATGGTGGTGTCCCTCGTGCTCGGCTTCATGGCCATGTTCGTGGCCGCGATGGGCATGAAGTGCACACGCTGTGGGGGAGACGACAAAGTGAAAAAGGCCCGCATAGCCATGACCGGAGGCATCATTTTCATCGTGGCGGGTGAGTCACAGGTCCAAGGCGGCCTCAGGGCTCTGAGGACTTAGGGCGGACGTGGTGCTGGTTAGAGGGGTCTCACAGTATCTACATCCTCCTTGTCCCTCTAGGTCTGGCTGCTTTGATAGCTTGCTCCTGGTACGGCCATAAGATTATCACAGACTTTTATAACCCTTTGGTCCCCATGAATACTAAGTAAGTATGGGAGTCTTGCCTCCTGAGGGGACAGGTCTGGGGTCTGGAGAGACAGGCCAGGGTTTCTGACCTCAATCCCCTCTCCCCACAGGTACGAGTTTGGTCCTGCCATCTTCATCGGCTGGGCAGGGTCTGCTCTGATCCTCTTGGGAGGTGCAATGCTCTCCTGCTCCTGTCCTGGCAGTGAGGGCAAAGCTAGGTATGGTGCGCCCCGCTCCTACTCCAAGCCCAGCTCTGCCAAGGAGTATGTGTGAGCTGGGACTCCCGTTGCCCCAGCCTGGCAACCGAGACACTTGAAAGGACCTCGGGCAGAGCTCAGCCTGTGGGTAGGATGTGCGGCGGCAGCCATGGGTCATGCAGTCCTGTACACCACATACAGTTCCCTGGGGGCTGGGAGGGGGAGAACAAAGGAGGGGCGGATGTGCTTTTTGTACAGTAATAAAAAGTATGTTTTGGAAAGTAGGCTTCTTTCTTTCCCTTCAGGGCCTCTGCTTTTTTCCTACTGAGATCCTTGCAGGGAGCCTGGAACCTTAGTATACCTGTTACAGCTAAAAAAAACAAACAAAACCCCCCATTGAGTCTAAGGGTGTGCCAGGCCACCATTCCACCAATTCCTTGTTCAGGCCCAACACTACTGACCCTTAAAGACTCAGGTTCTTGGTTTCCTTAATCCATTGACATCTTCCAGTCCTTCTACTCCCAACTCTTGCTTAAATAGCTACCAGAATTTTTTAATAAAAAAATATTTTATTAGGCGTGTGTGTGATACGTTTCCTAGTCTCTCACCTTTCCCTCTGCCCCATCCCACTTTTTTTTTTGTTAATCCTCATATTTTTACATTGATTTTTAGAGAGTGGAAGGGAGAGGGAGAGACAGAAACATCGATGTGAGAGAGACATATTGATTGGTTGCCTCCTGCATGCACCCTGACCAGGGCCGGGGAACCTGAAACCAAGGTACGTGCCCTTGACCAGAACCGAACCCAGGACCCTTCAGTCCGCCGGCTGATGCTCTGTCCACTGAGCCAAACCAGCTAGGGCCCATCTCACTTTCTGTCCTGACTGGACACTGCTCCCTGGCTCATGGGTCACGGGGTAGGGTCTCCAGAGACACAGGAAACAAAGATGGGGAAGAAACAAGGTAAGGCCAACTGGAACAATGGTTATAGGCCCAAGGTCTCCGCACCCCCCTCCAATTCAGTCTAGTCAAATATCTAGGTCATCATCTGGGTCCTCTTGGTCCAGGTCATCATAAGCGTCTGGCTCATAGAAGATATGGCTGGTAGCTTGGCCTAAACCACGGCACAGTAGAGCCTGCTGTCTGAGAGAGAAGAATTGGTGCTGGTGAGGGTGGGTAACAAGGGTCCTATCTGAATACCCTATACCTGGTAACTATGACTCCTTCTTTGTACTCCGTATTTTCTTGATCCAAGTCCCTTTCTCTGAGCTCCTGGTTTAGTTTTACCGAAGCACCATTTGGTCCTGGAATAGATACTCAACACCGTTCTCCTAATAATACTCCTAGTAGCTTGAGGGCAAGGATCCTGCCATAGTCTTACTTCATGCACCCACACACTGGGCACAAAACAGGTATCTCTAAGCCCTTGTTAACCTGCCTTTGCCCTCCCCATCTGGCTTCCTGTCCTGGTACTGTTGCCTGGAGATAGGGCCTTTTCCCCAGGGTCTTGTTCTGGCTCAGCTGAGACCCAGATGTGGGGCTGGGACCCAAGGCTGTAATGGAGAAGGCCACAACGGTGCTTTGTCATTGTTGGGGTATGGGTGGGTAGAGAACCACTCCCCAGACTTGGCTCTGGAGATGGACTTCAACCCTTATAAAGCCTGAGGTTAATCAATAACCTGTTGTCACCCCACCTCTTGGGCACAGATACTGGGCTCTATACTTAAGGACCCAGGGATATAGGCTGCAGCCTTACTTTTCTGAGCTGAACTGGAAGGGCAGGGTCAGGCTATCTTTGGCTTCCTTCTCTTTCTTGGACAGGTGAAGGTTAAAGGTCAAGTGAGTAGTGGGATCCACCTGTAAGTACAAAGGATGCTGTCACTATGCCCCATCCCCATAATCTCTGACCCCACCTCCAAACCTCTGCAGTTTTTATTCTTTTTGCCAGATCCCAACTCCATTCTCTTGTTCTGGCCCTGGCACTCTTAGATACCGGGTGTGTGCGAGGATCTGGGTGGGGCTGGGACTTTAGGGGAGACCCCCCTTGGAGATCCAGGCTGAAGTCAGGCAGGATGGTGAACCACTGAATCTGGGGAAAAGAAAGGAGAGTATTAAAGTTTTTTCCCCAATCTTACTGAAGAAACCAGAGAGAACTAAAGACCTAATGCCAGCCCCAATCAGCTATGCAACTGCTTTCAGCTCTTGCTCTCTAACTCTCACCCCTCCTTCAAACTTCTCCTTATGGACTTGTTCCTTCCCCACCTAGTAACCCCTCCCCGTTTTTTCTCCATTTCCATTTCCTGGAAGGCAGTGTCTTTTATTGGTTAAGCTCACAGAATCAGAGTTTCCCAGGCTGCAAAACAGGGGTAATAAAACTATCTCACAGGGTAGCTGTGAAGATTAAATGAGGAAAATAACGAAATGATGAAAGCACAGAGAAGTGCTTCATCACATCAGTTTTTGTGGGGTTTTTTTGTTGTTGTTCTTCCCCTCTGTCCGAACCCAACCTCTGGTCCTCCCAGGATTCTCCTGACCTTATGTGTTGGATGATGTTGGGGCCTCCGACAGAGAATGTGAGCTGAGGCCTGGTCCCCTGAACCACTCAAGGTCACTTCAATCTGAGCAAGGGAGCTCACTGCTTCCACAGGGCCTGGGCCATGAAGCTCTTCATGTAGCAGGCCCAGCACACGCACATGTTCCACTGGGGAGCTGTCATCTGGAGGGACAAGAAATGCAGGTCACATAGTTGGAGCCCAGGGAACAAATAAAGAGAAGCAGGCCCACACGCCATCACTTCTCTGCCACGCTACTGACTTAGTGTGTCCCGTTTCACGGCCCTGCACTGAGCTCCTTCAGCTCTCACCGCTCATGTACAGTGGAACCTCATTTCTTGAGCTTCATTTGTTCCGGAAGGCTATTTGAAAACCGAATCATTTTTTCCCCATTAGAAATAATGTAAATTTAATTAATCCCTTCCAGACCCCCAAATGATTCCGTTTTAACCTTTCTCATATATAGTACATGTCTATTGTTCTGTTTAATCTATAAATACTTTAAAAACAAAAAGGATATGAAATGTAAAGGAAAATTTAACAAAAAGGAAAGGAAATGTACATCAAAAAATGAAAATTTTATAGTAAGTATAAGCAGCAACAAAACAAAATATTCACAGCACAACATCCTGAGATTTTTAACAGTGGTAAACTGACTCATATTTGCATGTTCTCTCCTTTGTCACAGGAAAGATGTGTGACTCATCCTACAGGTATCAGCATGAAAGGGGGGGTCAGGCAGAGAAGTGGATTGAGGTAGGAGACATTCCAAACACCAGGGTCCAGGGTATTTTCTTACTCCAATGTGAATCTGATCAGGAAACCACTGACTACAACTCTCAGGGGCAACTCCAAGCCTTAAGGATGAACTGACACTTTCGTCATCTGGCCCCTGCTTCTCACATACTGACCTGCAGCTTCTGGAACTTGCCAAGATCCCATTAGTGCCTTTGACTCCCTCCCTTTTGGGGAGCATTTACGAGTGCCAGAGCATTTACACTAAACACTTTACTGTAACATTTCAATCCTTACAGGTCAGCATTTTGGGGTTGAACTATATGAACTTGCTCATATTTGACATTTGACTACATCTGAACTACAAAAAATGGCAATTCCACATGTTTAGAGAGGAAACTGAAGCACTGAGAGATCAAGTACCATAATATAAAGCCAGGTGTCTGACTCCAAAGTCCATGCTAGTACCCAGAGTATACAGGGTGTGGCAAAAGTAGGTTTACAGTTGTTCAGATGGAAGACAATAAATAAATAAAAATACAAGAATAAACTCTTGATTTCGTGTACTCACAACTGCAATCCTACATTTGCCCCACCCTGTACTTCCTAGTGCCATGGGCCTGGCCATATTTGCTGGGCTGACCCCTTGCTCTAAGACAGTTCCTTATTGAAGGTACTTTGTACACGTTCCTCTATCATCATGGCTCTTTTTTTTTAATATATTTTATTGATTTTTCACAGAGAGGAAGGGAGAGGGATAGAGAGTTAGAAACATCAATGAGAGAGAAACATTGATCAGCCGCCTCCTGCACATCTCCTACTGGGGATGTGCCCGCAACCAAGGTACATGCCCATGACCGGAATCGAACCTGGGACCTTTCAGTCCGCAGGCCGACGCTCTATCCACTGAGCCAAACCGGTCAGGACAATCATCATGGCTCTCATCAGATTATCTTGTAATTATCTGTTTACTTGTCTGTATCCTTGATGAACTTTGAGCTCCTGGAAGACAAGAACCTGACTACAGTAAAGTCTTTATCTTCCTATTATCTAAAATAATATCTAACATGCTATATGTATTTAATGTTTGCTGAATGAATAAAATAGATGAGTAAAAATGAACTTGGAAAAGTGATTGGTAGGTGGCATTACAGAGAAGTCAAGAACTAGTATAAAGGTTAAAGAGATGAAAAAAAGGCCCGGCTAGCATGGCTCAGTGGTTGAGTATCAGCCTATGAACTAGGAGGTCATGGTTTGATTCCCAGACTGTGAGCTTGATCCCCAGTGGGGGGTGTGCAGGAGGCAGCCGATCAATGATTCTCTCATCATTGGTGTTTCTATCTTTCTCATTCTCCTTCTCCCTTCCCCTTTGTAATAAAAATATACTTTAAAAAAAAATGAAAAAAAGCCCTAGCTTGTGTGGCTGTTGGTTGAGCATTGACCCATGCACCAAAAGATCTCCAGTTAGATTCCTGGTCAGGATACATGCTTGGGTTGCGGGCTCAATCCCTAGTAGAGGGCATGTTGGAGGCAGCTTTGTCAATGTTTCTTCTTCTCTGTCTTCCCCTCCCTTCCTTTCTAAAATCTATAAAAACATATTTTTTAAAAATGGTTAAAGTAATAAATGTTAAAAAAGAGATGAAAAAAGATCCACCTGGAGATCCCTGATCTGTTGTTTCCTAGGGTAGAAAGAGTTATGTTCCCTGGCAGAGGGACATATATGGGGGGAAGTAATGAAGGAGGGTCTCACCAGGGCGGGAGTCCTGACGGCTCAGAGCATGCAGGGTCTGGCAGAGAGTGGTGCAGGGAAGGTGAAGCAGCAGCCAGCTAAGAGAATCAAGAGCAATGGTGACAGCACCAGGACCTGTTCTCCTGCACAGTGCTCTCAAGACTCCCAGGGGCCCCCCAGGAAGGGCTTCTCCAGTGTTTGACCAGTTGAGAGGGTCTCTGAAGAGGTCATGGTAAACCAGCCTACAAAGAGAAAACAGCAGACAA